CATAGAAGAAATAGACTCCTATTTATTAATTTTGCCTACAAAATATGTACTGGAACGACAGGACCTAATATTTCCAACGCTGGATGCATTCTGCCTATTTGATGTATGTTTCTTCACACCTGTGAAACATAAAAATGGAAGACTAGAGGCTATTCAAAGGAAAGGATAGAGGCCTTTTTTTTTTCCCAAAATGATTGCACTTTAAACAATCCATCAAAAGCAGAATTACCACCTCAAATTGTAAAGCAGAAATTTACATATTCTGGTTTCTAATGCCATAGACTCATCTTTTTTCTTTCCTTTTATGTTTGTTTTACAGCTGAGTTATAAAATAGGAGTATATAATTAAAATCCTCAGACCCATAATTATAAGCTCGGCTGCAGAATAATTGTTGAGCCTTTTGATGATTCCGCCGCTAATTATGCCCCTTAGAAATTCCAAATATCACTTTCCCATAAAAAGCTGTTCATTGTCAGCCTTCAGTCAACACACTTGACTGATGGGAAGATAATGTTTATTTCCACATGTTTATCGGTGGCCTACCCTGACTTGGTACCCTTATTTTACTAAGGAGGGAAAGATAATGAATCCATAGATGTAGGTTTATATTTATCATTGAGTGGCACATTTGTTTTTCTCCTTCACAAACTACCATGAAACTTTCAGAAATTGTTCCTTATTTGAAACTTTTTAAATCTCTCCAGTAAGTTATTAGGATGTAGATTTGGTAGATTACATCCTAATATCTGCTGCCTTAAAGAAAATAAGTGTCTGTTAATTGAATGCCAGCATATGTTCGAAGCTCTATGTTCGGAAATGTGTCACTAATTTGGGGAGTACTTTGAATCAGCTATTCTACCTTGAATTGCAGACATGAAATCCTGTTTTGTGGAAATATCCCCTGACACCTTCTAATCTCTCCCTTCCTTCTCTCCACCTGCTCTTTCCCCTCCCCGACTGCCCCACTGCAAATGCTTGTCCAAAAAAATGCTGAGCCTATTTTCATAAAATGCTGTTTCTGTAGACTCTCGAAGGCACAATATCTTACTTTGAAAGATATCTTTTAAGGAATAAATTTATTTCACCATTAAGAAACAAACAAACAACAACAACAACAAAAAAAAATCCAGGCACAGTGGTGGCTCATGCCTGTAATCCCAGCGGCTCGGGAGGCTGAGGCAGGAGGATCTTGAGTTCAAAGCCAGCTCCAGCAATGAGGCCCTAAGCAACTCAGTGAGACCTTTTCTCTAAATAAAATACAAATTAGGACTAGGGATGGGGCTCATTGGTTGAGCGCCCCTGAGTTCAATTCCCAGTACCTGCCACCAAAAAAAATTAAGTCATATTTGACAATTAAAATAGCATAAAGAGGTGTGCAACTTGATGACTTGGTATAATTTCACTAGATATAGAATTCTTTTTTAATTTTATGAGAATTCTTGCTGGTTGTTTTTTTTTTTTCTCTCTCTCTCTTCCTTCCAATATTTTATTCCACTCTTTTCACTTGCCTGGTTTCTAATGAGAAGTCTGCTGTAATTATTATCCTTATCTCTCTCTAGGTTTGGTGGTTTATTTGCCCTTTGTCTTTATTCAAGATTTTCTCTTTGTGTTTGGTTTTGTAAAGCTTGAATTTGTCTAGAGGTACACATACAAGTGCATGTGCATGTGCATACACGGGCATATATAAATACACTCATCTGTAAAAATATGTGTATATCCCGGATGAGATAAGGTTCAAAGTCTCCCTTCTCTCATCTGGGAGAATAGTGCTTTGCCATGAAGAAGGCTTTAGTTTTATTTCACAGTGATTCTCTTCTCTTCCCTCTGCCAAGATCTTTCTTGTATTATGTTCACCATGAGAACCTGGTAGAGTTCCCAGTGGTGAAACCCATGCAAGCGTGCCCCCGCCCCCACCCGCCACCTCCAACACTGTGGCCCACGGAGTTCCTAGCTGTCATTCTACTCTACACTTAGCCTCTGTTTATTCTGATAATTCCAGACTACCATGTAAGGTCTCCCGGGCTCCACCTGCTTCTGCTCCAGCTAAGCAGAGTGTGGCTGTGATACTCTGGATTCATCTGTCTCTCCAGATCTCAGGGGAGAATTTTGACCTGGTAAGTTCAAGAAAGGTTGTTGATTTTCTGTTTGTTCAACTTTTCTTTGTTGTAAGGATGAGAGGTGCCACATTTTCTATCTCAGAGCACCGCCTGCACCATGGTATCAGGAATCCTTAAAATGTGGAGTAACAATGGTTGTTATGGTGTGGATTTGAGGTGTCCCCCCAAAGCTCATGTGTGACACAGTGCAGGAAGGTCCAGAGGAGACATGACTGGGTGGTGAGAGCCTTAACCCAACCAGTGAATGGACCCCTGATGGGATTAACTGGGTGTTGGCTGGAGGAGGTGGGTGTGGCTGGAGGGGCGTGGCTTTGGGGTCTCTATTTGTCTCTGGAGAGTGGAGTCTCTCTCTGCTTCCTGATCACCCTGTGAGCTGCTTCCCTCCACCACACTCTTCCTCCATGATGTCCTGCCTCCCCTGGAGCCCCGAGGAGTGGAGCCTGCTGTCTGTGGACTGAGACCTCTGAAACCGTGAGCCCCCAAATAAACTCTTCCTCCTCTACAGTTGTTCTGGTTGGGTCTTTTAGTCACAGCAGCGAAAAAGCTGGCCAAAACAGTGGCAGTACAGCATGAAGAGCCCTACTCCTAAAATACATGTGGATCTGAATATGGATAAAATCCAGCCTTCTTCTAGTAACATTCATTCCATGGGCAACGCCCTTCACATGGCTTTCCATTTCCATCATTAATAAGCAGCCAAGAGGTCACATTATATCATTTTTTCGGTGGGATCTAGTGCAACCTTTGTACTCAACTGCCCGTTAAGCCTTCCATGAAATGTTATGAGATGATACATTTTGAAGTGCTACAGACAAACAATTGAAACAATCCCCATTTAACAAACAGTCTCACTAGACAATTACAGAAAGCATTTAACATACTACGTACTGTGAATTCAGGGGAGATATATAGACATCCTTTCCCCAAATCACGCTGTCACAAGATCTTTCATTTTGATGGAGCACCTGAAGAAACTTGTGTTTTGTGAAACACACTTTGGGAACTGCTGGTATTTTAGGAAACACCAAGATTTGGAAAAAGACGGGACATGGATTTGAATCTCAACTCAGCTATTTGCTGTTTAGATGAATGTTCCTAGTCTATAAATTTTAGTTCATTGATCCATTAGGTAACAAAGCAGACAACAGCATTTACTTAAAAATTAATATGAGGACTCCATGAAACAAATTAAGCACCTGTCACGTGATATAGACTTAAGGCTTATTAATGTTATTGTTGATCATCATCCCATATCAGGCTCCAAGATGGTGGGTGGCAAGGTCTTGCCCACATGAGAACCAATTTTCCTCTGAGTTGGCCTGACAAATGAATGTGGTTATCCAGTCGCCAGAGTACTTGAATAGCACATCTGGTCTAGTCTATTGTGTCAGAGGATGTGTGTAGGAGTGTGTCAAAGTGTAAAGTTTCCAGGGCCTATGTCACGATGGAAATGTCATTCCATGTTTGGTAAAATTCACAAAGAACATGGCACAGTCCTTCCAAATATGGCCCAGGAACCGATTGTCTTCTGAGAAAAGTATAGGGCTAAGATCCAGAAGCATTTAATCTGTGTGAGCAAGCATTTGGGGGTCTGTCATTCGAAGCGAATGACTTGCACTAATTGTCTGGTAAGTCATGGTGATTGCATGTTGGAGTCACAGCTAACCCCTATTGGACTGCCATGCGTTTTCCATCCTAAATGTTAACACTGTGGGCGAGCTACCATGGAGAACACCCAAGAAGCAATTTCAATATGATATTTGATTCCTGGGTGGCTGGAGCTGCTCAGTGCTAGATTTTAATACTATAATCTGGAACATGTTGATTTGGAGCAATACGCATGATTAGATGGTTTAATTGCGTGTTGTAAAGGAAGCTGTGACCTTTCCAGTCCAATCCTGGATGTGACCGTACACTGTTGGGAGGAGGAGAAGACAAATGCATGCGGGGGAGTGTGACAACCATGACACGGTTCCTTTGCCTCATTATTCAAGTGTATTCAATGATCTTAAAAACCGTGTGGACCGTGCCCCAAATATTAGTGGCCAGCTACATCTCAAAGAAAATTCTGTGAGTCTTAAACAAAGATCTAGTAACATGACCTGCAAATACTGAGCAGATGGCCTCAACATGAACAAGTCTCTCGTTTTTTTAGCCCGTTTGGGCACACAAGACAACATTAAAAATGTATTATTCTTGCCTATAAATCCATTGGCTAAAACCACTGTAGTTTAATAACGCCGTACAATGTCATATGGCATCAGAAGCTAAGACAGCACTATCAGCCCCGCCATTGGCAAGACGTTTTACATTTGGAAAACTACTTTCACATTCATTGTGTTTGACCAGAGGAGAAAAGCCATACAAGAGAAGAGATACCAGCTGGTTTCATTTCCCCAAATTTACAGTAGAAACAAAGCAGAAGTGTGGGGTGATTTGCATTAGTTAAGTGAGGACTTAAACCCCAGTTTCTTAGCACTAAGTCCATGGTTTCTTCCCTCTCTGGGGCATTATTAAGTGGGAGGACAAGAGCTAGATAGAGTTCTTTTCCTAGAGTCACACATAAATTCTGCCAGAAAAATAAGGGGTGGGGCACGTTATTTCTCTACAGTGCATGCAGCCAAAAATCCCAAGAACAGAATGAAAACAGCCGGGCATCTTCTGTTACCTAAGGATGAGGCTGGACCTTCCTGCACAAGAAGGAACGCAGAGGGTAGGCAATTGCCCAGACATCCCAGACCTCAGTCACGGTCACCTAAAAGGTTCTAAGGTATGTTTGGGACCTGAGCAGTGATTGGATGGTCTCCGTGGCTTTGTATTTGCATGCAACCACGCAGAAAACCACAAGACGTTGATATTCTTTGTTCTAAAACATAAATTACCTCCAAAGCAGTATCCTCTGGGTCCTTGGCTGTTGCTCGGTAAATGATGGTGCCCGGGGCAGTGTCTTCTAAGATATAAATCTCAGTAACTGCCAGAAAAGGTACAAGAGATGATTGAAGGAGTTTCACACCACGCTATCCCCACCCCCCCAAAAAAAGCCCTCATCCAATTCTGTATTTTAGATAAAAATAAGAGTATTATACTTGCTCAGCACAAATGTTTTCATAGAGTGTCTCTAATTAAGCCAATAGTTATGATGATGATGATGATGGTAATGATGATGATAGGCACTATTTATTTAATATCTACTATGTTTCAGGCTAGAGGAAAAAGATTTAAAAATTTAAGCGGGGCACAGTGGCACATGCCTATAATCTCAGTGGCTTAGGAGGCTGAGGCAGGAGGATCATGAGTTCAAAGCCAGGCTCAGCAATGGCGAGGCCCTAAGCAACTCAGTGAAACCCTGTGTCTAAATAAAATATAAAAAATAAATTAATAAATAAAGGAGGGCTAGGGTTGTGGCTCAGTGGGAGAGCACTTGCCCAGCACATGTGAAGCACTGGGTTAGATCCTCAGCACCACATTAAAATGAATAAACAAAATAAAGATAGTGTGTCCATGCATAACTAAAAAATATTTTTAAATATGTATAAATAAAAATAAGGGGCTGCAGATGTGGCTCAGTGGTTAAGTGCTTCTAAGTTCAATCCCAGTACGAGGGGCTGGTACCAGGGGTGGGGGAGGCAGTAACTAGAGGCAGGTGGGTGTGGCTGGAGGAGGGGGCATTGGGGGCGTGGCTTTGGGGTCTCTATTTGTCTCTGGAGAGTGGAGTCTCTCTCTGCTTCCTGATCACCCTGTGAGCTGCTTCCCTCCACCACACTCTTCCTCCATGATGTCCTGCCTCCCCTCGTGCCCTGAGGAGTGGAGCCTGCTGTCTATGGACTAAGACCTCTGAAACCTTGAGCCCCAAATAAACTTTTCCTCCCCTAAAATTGTTCTTGTCAGGTTTTTAGTTACAGCAGCAAAAAACTGACTAAAACAAAGATGTATAAGTGGTAGCAATCACAGCAAGAAAGACAGGGTCCCTGACCTCACAAAGCTTCCAGTTTAATAGACACACTCCTAATTAAATCATCACACAAATGAGAGAATAATTTTGGTGCACTGTGACCACACAAATCAATGTATCACTATAATCAGTGAATAAGTGAGTATACCCTTTCATGTAACCCATGGATCACTCCTGTTGTCAGTGTTGTCCCGATCAGTCTTATAGTCCATAAGAGCACCCAGGACCCTGAGCCTATAGCTACATCCACAGGAGCCCTCTTCCTCCAAGGAGATACCCTCAGTACCTTGGTTTTCAGGGGCAAGAGATCCGGTGAAGGTGGGCGGCTCATTCACATCTACTATCTGGATTAACATGGTCTGGGATGCTGTTGCCCCTCGGCTGTCTTTGGCATAGATTATCAGGGAATAAAGCATCACACTCTCAAAATCCAGCTTGGGTACTCCAGTGGTGAATAACTAAGTTTAAAAAAAAAATAAGTAAATAAATGCAGAATCATGGAGCAAACAATTGGCTTCATTAGGACATATAGGGAATATGTTAGATCTTCAATCTCCAATATTGGTCAGCATTTTGTTGTTTTGTTTTGTTTTATGGGTTTTGTTAGGTTTTTGTTTTTGCCTTTGTTTTTCATTTCTGAGATGGTCTCTCACTAGCTGGCCTTAAAATCTAAGGGACAAGTGATCCTCCCACTTTAGCCTTCCAAATAGCTTATGCCCCTCCATGCCCAGGTTTAAATTAACATTTTTTAAAATGGCATAAAAATCTTGAACTTAAGCTGGATACACTGGCGTACCCCTGTAATCCCAGTGGCTTGGGAGGCTGAAGCAGGAGGATCTCAAGTTGAAAGCCAGCCTCAGCAAATTAGCAAGGCCCTAAGCAACTCAGTGAGACCCTGTTTCTAAATAAAACACACACCAAAAAAAAAAAAACAAAAAACTGGAGGTATGGCTCAGTACTTAAGTGCCTGTGAGTTTAATCCTCATACAAATAAAAAAAAAATCTTGAAGCTCACTCATATCATGTCAAATGATTTCTCCTCCATCTTTCCCACCTTCTCAGACTTGAATTTGGTCAAGGATTATCCTGATACCTCAAGCTATCCTTGCAAAGTAGGTATTAGGTTTAGGTGCAGAAATTGGAGACTTGGGGAGGCTCTGCAGCGTGGCCAGGTTTTCACAGGTAGAAGTGCAATGACTTTGGCCTCCCTCTGACTTCACACTCATGCTCTTCATGAATCTAAAATGGCTAGGACCTCACATGGCAGAGTCAGAGTCCCTCGTGTCCCTCCCTTGTTCACTCACCTTTATGTCCTGTTCTAGGTCCCTTCATGGTTTCCACACTGACTCTTGAACTGGCCTATTGACCTGAGACCCCCCCACCCCCTGGCCCGAGGTGGAGCGTGCACAGAACTGGATTCCAGTGCCACCTCTGGTGTGAAGTAACTCCACGACTCTGGCGATGGTCCTTCAGCTCTCTGACTTGGTTTTCTTTAACCTTTATATGAGATCACTAATGTCATTTTCATGTCTGCCATGATACCAAGAGTTTTGGGAATACTGTTTCTAAAATATTTCTTTTTTAGAATTAGTGGAAATAGTGAAATAGTGGAAAACAAAGATTTTTATTGAGTACCAATACTCAGTGGAAGGGGTTGGACACTCATCTTTGGACACCCTTTATTAAATCAAGAACCCTTTTTCTGTGATGATAATGCATTCTAAGCAAATGCTAAGAGTTTACATGTACGGAGCACTTACTATGTGTTAAATGCAAACATTTAATAAAAATTACATCATTCCACCCTATTAAAAAAAACAGTGTGATTGACATGTTAATATGTCCATTTGATAATCAAATATGAAATACAGACTCTGAAAGATCATCCAGCAAGGAACAGGCAGGGCACAAATGCCACTCTGATACCAAAGCCCATCTGCAGGGCAAGGCTACCCACATGGCTGACTGTGGTTCTGAGAACAAAAGGATCATAATGTTACCCAGCCAACCTTCAGCCAGCAGAGCTAGCATTTGTTGATTACACTCTCCAAGTCCAGGATTACTTTCTTCTTTGCCTCTGTTAATCATCAAAGCAAACCTGAGAGGGAGGTCCTAATGTCATCCCGCTTCACAGAAGCTGAAACTGAAGCTCAGGTTATATAACCTAGCTGGGAAATTCATGCTGCGCTTGGAGACAGAGTGTGGGCCTGACCCCTGCCCATCTGTTCCCAACACCCTCCCGTCGGCCAGAACTGCCACGGACAGGAACACACAGGGGTGTTGTTGCAGTTCCATCAAAGTCAGCAATACCTGGCATTGGGTACCATTCTCTACGGAGCAAATGCCCCAGGCTGGACAGGATCTCTTCAAGTCTCAGGGTTTTCCCATGGAGCGAATAAATGCTCTAGCATCCCCCAAGCTGCTGAGGAAGAACTAAAGCCCAGGAGTAAGAAATTTTGCCTACAGTAACACCACTCGTAGTAACTGAGCTGGGGCTTACAGCCAAGGCTTCCTGACACTAGAGCTTTTTTTCTGTTCTCCACATGCTAATGATTCCTGATAAGTTCACTTAATATCATAACCTGGTTTTAGGATCTATAGGGTTTTCCAGCCTCAATTAAGCACAATTTTGTCCTTAAAGAGCTCC